GAAAGAGATGTATATCTTTGACAATCAAGCATGTCCTGAATTTCTTTGTTAAGCCCACATAAAAACCTCAATTCTTTAGCTTCTTCGCATTCATCTAAACCACAACGTAATAAACAAGCTTGCATATCATGATAGTATGAAGTAACAGTTCTGGTATCTTGTTTTAAACATTGCAGTTTGTTGAACAAAATGTCAGCATAATACATGGGAACATAAACATCTCTGAAATATCGTTTCAGGTCTTTCCAAGATTGTGGTATTTTGTTATGCCTACAAAGATGTTTCCAATCATTAGAAGCATGTTTAATTAAAACACTAGAGGCACACATAACCTTTTGTTTCTCCGACAAGACATGCTTTTGAAATTCACTATCAACCGCTAGCTCCCAATTAATGTAAGCACGAGGATCATAGTCTCCCTCGAAATAAGGCAGTGCAGATTTGATCTTACCTAGAACATCATCACTTACCTCATAATGGTCATGTTGATCCCTCCTCATGTCTCGACGAAGATGTCGATGTTGAGCGCAGCTATCCCCAATTATCTTGCGTATCCCTGCCATTGTTAGTAGAAAACAAGAAACATACACAAAAATATGCGCGTTCCTATTAACTACTAGGTAGTGGCAGCTCAAAAATCGCACACACTCAAGCTTTTAACCAAGCTCTTACAAGATCTTACCAATGCAAGTGGAATGGTGACATACACCGACTCAACCAAGCACCCCAATGAAGGTTGGATGTATCGATGCCTTGGCAAACACTTGCGGTATAGCTGTAATCAAATATGTGGAGCTCTGGGTAGGCTTAAATATGTAGCAAAGGAATAGCAAATGCTCAAATCAGATAATGCAAAGTTGAATAATTGTTCAAAGTCAAGTACCGTGCTGGTCCTAGGCTAGAACGTACTAGAGACGCGAGCCTAGACACAAACGATACCACAAGATAGCACTAGGAACAACTCATGCACAACTCTGATATATGAAGTTCAGCTCAAACATAACAGTATTTTCTCTTTTCTTTCTTTCTTCTTTCTTCTTTTCTTTTTTTTTTCTTTCCTTTTCTTTTGTTTTTTTTTGGTGCGGCTTTTTTTTTCTTTTTTTTTTTTGCACCTTTCTGCCTTTTTTTCACTTTTTTCTTGATTTTTTTTAACAAAAACTGACTCAAGGACCTTAATGTAAGATTACAGGGACTCAAACATAAATATAAAATTTACAGGGACTCAAATGTAAAAGTCTAAACCCAAAATTAAAATTATACAAAAAATGGAATGCTGAATTTATGCCGGTTCCGTTTTTCCAAACAGATCTCGAAACCGACACCAAACAAAAATTCGCCAAGGTGTTTGACACAACTCGGAACCGTGGAAGAGAGGGAGGGAGTCGGACTCGGCCAGGAGGTGGAGTGGATGGCAGCCGAATTTGGTGTATGGGATAAAAAGGAAACTGATTTTTAACCAATCCAATCTACTATATCTTTCCAAAACAATCTTGACTACTTCCAAAATCAGATATGGTAATTCACCTTCCTCCTCTCGTGCACGACACAGGCACGGCCAAAACAAACACACACAAGGATCGGCAAACTCTAGATGCAACTCAAGAACTCCAAAACTAACCGACAGAAACTTCTGAAAACTACAAAAATAAAACCGTGGCAGCGAGCCGATTCTGTTTTCGTAGGTCCCGACAACAACAGAGACACGGTGGCAGCGACGACTGTGGTACAAAACGTGACCAGAACTCGAAACTCTAAACGAACTAGACGCTAAGACCAGCAACACGACGTGACGATGCAACACAAAATTCAACAAAGCAAAAACTGAAAAGAACAATGCAATGGCACAATATGGCTAGGTAAATGATACGAATTTTTTTGTATGGCTATTTTCTGGTTATAGGAAGATAAAAACTCACCGAGCAACGAAAGCTCTGATACCACCTGATGAACCCTGAGTTTCTCTCGACACTCAAGGCTGTTGTTGGCCCGATCTTTCGGTGAGTTGTGATAACTACGATTTGGGAGAAACGTTGACGATCCGACTACAACCGTACGAGACGTTGTGTTGCGCCTTAGCGATCGATACACCTCTCCGTGGGTTGCTGATCTTGCCGGTGCAGATCAACCCTATTCCTGCAAGCAAATCGAAGAAACAAGCAAGAACAAGATAAAAGCAATCTGATATTGCAAATAGGAATTTAATACAAATGATAAGTTGGGGTTCCGAAGAACAAGCAGACGGACGGTCTAGCCGACACGCGCGCTGCAAGCAAGTAGCAATGGCTAAACTTTAATCTAACAAAACCCGAGAAACCCTGAAGGGCTAACTAGCTATATATAGGGGTGGGAGGACGACCTAGGGGTGCCTAGGGTCGTGCTCCACCAGCTTGGGGCGCACCCCACATGGGCCCCACCTGGGCTGGGGTCCCAAATGAAGTTACAAGCCCATAGGCCCATTATAGGTGATGCAACACCTTGTTCCTATGATTCTGGCCACACGAGATAGAATTCAGAGAAGAGGCTGGATCCGTTAGAAAGAGGGCTCCGAGAGCTTTCCATCAAGTACTCACGGGCCGAAAACGGAGGTCGTATACAGATTCGGTGGCCGTTTGAAGTCAGCAGTGTAGTAGGTGGCCGAATCGGATTCCAGCACTTGGAGTACTTGATCTCGATATCTTCTTGTTCATCCATGATGTGAGCAATGGTTGCATCTGTGGTAGCCATGGTCACATCATCGGTTCACCCACAATCGTCATAGGGGACAAATCTCCATCCTCCACATGGAAGTTGGGGATGAATGGCCGCAAGGGCAGTCGGTCGAACCAGGATTCAGCTGACCCCTGGCACCGTCTTTCCCCCTCTCCTTCGGCCAAGTCACTGTCCAGTAGGCCCTCATGGCGGTGGATAGTAATTGGCTCCAAATATGACAGTTTGCTCTGATTTTTGGGCCATTCAAATCGTGTACTCGCGCTTAATTGGCCGGAGGTGTATTTCATCGCAACACAGGTACATTTTCATCTACAATGTCCTGCATACAAATATTTTACCATACTCGTGAAAATGGTTAGTAATAAACCCAAGCACTAAATTTGCCGTTCCATTTTAGTTGGTTTTATGCAGGAGTTAACGGTCAAATTTGATATTTAATGACCGTCCATAGTAATAAATATTGACCTGCTAATAATTAGTTCCCCGGTTTGTTTTGTTGTACTTTGTGTACTTATTTTGGTACACGTTTGAGGTTGGACACCACGGATTTATTCTATGATGTATACACTGTTTTTTTTTCATTGCCATATAAACCAAGATTTTGAGGGTAACCCTACACAACACAATTCAACATTTAATTGTTCCTGAATTTTATAATTTCAAATATAAAATTTCTGAAAAATATGAAGTTTCATTACACTTCTGTACTATGGCCCCATTTGATTTTACTGAAGATAAAGATTAAGGCACGTAAAAATGAGGCAATCATTAGTACATAATTAATTATCATAGATTTAAAAACTGGTTATCTGATATTTTAAAGCAATGTCCCTATGAAAGAATGAGACCTAGGCAGTGTTTAGTTCACACCAAAATTGGAAGTTTTTGTTGAAATTGAAACGATGTGACGAAAAAGTTGAAAGTTTGTATGTAGAAAAGTTTTGATGTGATGGAAAAGTTGGAAGTTTGAAGAATTTATTTTGGAATCAAAAGCAACCAAAAGCAGAAAGATTCTGCAGACCTTTGCAGAAGGGGAATAAGGACCTTGTAGTATGCCCAACTATTTTGGCATAGGCACACATTTTTATCATCACATCAGTCGTGTTCTCACATATGAGAGTTTTGCTAATTACATGGTTATTATGTATATGGGTGTCTTCATATTTTAGTAATATAAAATGTAGGATCGAATCGCAACAACTAAAAGCCAACCAGAGGGGGGGTAAATGGTTGATATACCCAAAAACCGAAAACTTTTAGCGAAAATAAAAGTTACCCTCAAATTCGACGGATCGCGGTCTGACCGAAGGTGTTGCACCGGTCTAACCGCCTGATGAACGTCGGTCTGACCGAGATCGAACTCCGGTTGAACCGCCGAGATTACCTGATGTCGACTACTGTCACCGCCGGTCTAACCGCCGCGATGCCGCCAGTCTGACCGTCGGTGCGCCGCCGGTTAGACCGCCGAAACCCGGTGAAACACAAATCGAAGAACTCTTAGAGTGGATGACGACTTTATTGATTCTCTCTGTGTTTTCAAAGTGCACCAACAGCACTCCTTACAAAAATTTCGACTAAACTCGAAACCCTAACTCAACTCTCAACTCAATTGCTCTCCAAAAGCGATACCGGGAAGCCTCACGCTCCCCCTCTATTTATATCCGAGGTAGGCAGCCTAAAGCCACGAACCAAACTCATACTAGAAGTCCTAAACACCTTAGGAAACCCTCTAATACAAGAAACAAACTTTACATAACCAATCATACCAAATTTGGACCTCTTCCAAATTCGACTCCACATCCCATACGCACACAATACCTCCATCGTATGCCATATGGAATCTTCACCAACCACGTGCATCAACTCTAGCCTAAGTATCCCGCATGATCTCTGACCACCACGGACGTCGTCTTATCCCCAAGCCGACTCCCGGTCCATCACCGCAAATACTCTCCCGAGGCATCGAGTCACCTACACATGAAATAAACAAAGAAACCATTTTCCGAGACCAAGCTATCTCCAACTTGACTCATTAGTAGCAAACGACAATATTACATACGTATAGTATCCATCTAGAAGCCATAATTATGAAACAATCACAGATATCCAAACAAACAACCCGAAACCGAAACCGACACAGAGTCGGCGGTCAGACCGTGGGCTGCGCCAGTCTGACCGCGCGATACACGCCGGTCTGACTGGCAGCACATGCCCGGTCTGACCGGACCCAAATCCAGCAGTCCCTGTTTAACACCTGTTAAAATCCAATCATCTCCAAACCACTTCGTGAGTAAATTCCAAATATCAAAACCAATAATCTCCGATGCCAATTGTTCATCACAGAATAATAATTAAAAACACCTTTGATTTTACATAAAAGTGTATTACAAATCCAGCATCTACCGTCACACACAACCCGAATGACCTTAAAAACCATGTATGGAGAAAAGAAACTAGAAAGCTGGTAAAGATCAGGACTTTGTGGAATACCGATTTATTTTTGGCATGGAAACAGATTTATCATCATACCAAGACAAATCAAAATAAATAAAAGGAATAACGTCACACAATTAGCCCTGACCCATCGAGCTTCTCCCGGAGGATAGAATCCAAACGCTCTGCCATCTCAAGAGTCATGTGGTTCGTCCAGTCCCCTGCCATCCCCTTCCTAAAGAAGGATTCATGCGAGATCTTCCCGCCAATGGAGCCATACTTGTTAGCTTTTTGGTTCCTCAAATTGTCAATGCTGCAGAGGTCTGCAATCTCTGTGACAACACCAGCTTCTTCTTCAGCACCCGAGAACGGTTGACCAAGGAACTGAGCTAGCTTCTTAACTGCGTCACATGGGTCTTGAAGAACCTTCTCATAGGTCAGGAAGAGTACCCTTGTTGGCTCTGCATTGCTTGCGTACCAGAACTCAAGAATATTATCCCACGCAGGTCCACCCATGCAGATGCCATTGCAGAAGGCCTCATGTACCTCAGAGAATGTCAAGTCAGGATGTCTACGCTTCATGAAGTGCCATAGAGAAACTGCTGTGTCTTTTTGGTCCCTATAAATTAGCAGCACAATATAATAGATTTTATCCAGAGGAGAATATGCAAAAAATTTACAAGGGTACGTTTTGGACTTTGATTTACAAGTCTTCTCGATTGTCAGGTACAAGCTACTTAATATATTTTCGACTTGAAAAAATATTAGAGTTAACAAAAAAATGAGTTGAAAAATTATCCAATAAACTTCAAAAATTAAACATCGTAGCCATGCTGAAGCTGCTGGACTGATCAGGCCTTCGGTGTAAAATAGAGTAAATGTGTTTAATAGACCTGTAAATATAGACGATCTTGCAGGTCGAAGGAGGCAACAGCGAGAGCGGCATGTGGGTGGACAAGAGCCTCGGCGACGGCAGCATGTCCAGCAGAGCGTCGCGCCCTAGGGTGTACAGGACCTCCAGAGAAGGCACACACAGATGCGGGTTGAGGCGGCGGAGCGGGTGGTCGTGGCTGGACGGCGGCCACGCGCCGCGCGCCATGGTGGCGAAAGTCAGGGCCTTGAGCCACGTGGTACCAGACTTCTGCAGGCTCGCAACGAGGACGTCGTCGGCGCGAGGTGCGAAACTGCGGTGCACGGCGACCACACCCGGCGCCCACATCTCCGATATCCAGAATCCTCGGTAGCAGCGGAACTGCATGTTGTTGCAGTGGGCCGCCGACATGGCGGAGATGGCGTCGTCGTGCTCCGTGAGTGGTTCCACCGGGACGGCATCCTCGTCGACGGCGTCGTTGAACGCGACGGGACCTTGCTCATCGCGAAGCAATCCTGCTAATTTCGCGGTGGTTGACATGGCTGGAGCATGACTCTTGGAGAGTTGGAGTAGTGTGTAGTGTGTAGTGTGTAGTAGTCTAGTATAGATTTTTATTATCGCGCAGGTTTTTTTATTGTCCCCGCAAGCGTCGGCATCTGACAGCGAATTCACCCCAAACGTCGTGATATGCATGCGAATAAACTATAACGTCGTGCTATGCATGGAAATAAATTAAGGCCGTGTTTACTTCCATTTCAATTCTTTTAAAAGTATAGAGACACACAATTATTAAACCACATTTATTAAACATAGACTACTAACAAAACAAATTACAAATTCCGCCTGTAAACTGTGAGACGAATCTATTAAGCCTAATTAATCCGTTATTAGCAAATATTTACTGTAGCACCACATTATCAAATTGTGGCGTAATTAGGCTCAGAAAGATTCGTCTCACAATTTACATGCAAACTGTCTAATTGGTTTTTTTCGTCCACATTTAATGCTCCATGGATGTGTCCAAACATTTGATGTGACGGAAGTTTGAAGGAAACTAAACACAGTCTAAACTATACACATTTGATCTTAGGTCGTGTTTAGTTCACACTAAAGTTTGGTTGAAATTGGAATGATTTGACGGAAAAGTTGAAAGTTTGTGTGTATGAAAGTTTTGATGTGATGGAAAAGTTGGAAGTTTGAAGAATTATTTTGGAACTAAACACGACGTTAACATACTACCTCCGGCCCTTAATATAAGGGATATTCACTATTTACTTGTAACGTTTGACCACTCGTCTTATTAAAAAATTTGTGCAAATATAAAACCTGAAAAGTTGTGCTTAAAATATTTAGATAATAAAGTAAATCACAAATAAAATAAATAATAATTCTAAATTTTTTTAATAAAATAAATGATTAAATAGTGTAAAAAAAAGTTAAAATCTCTAATACTAGAAGACGGAGGGAGTAGCACGCACCAAATGGTGTAGGGTCTGTTCGCATATGACGGTTGGGGAGAAATCCGGGGGTGTTGGTAACATGGTGTACTGTAGCGAACTGTAGCATCTACAGCACAGGGCAGACGGACGTCTGGAGGCAGCAGGCACCGCGTTTGGGCGCCGACAACTTCCATCATAAAGGCCTAATTTAGGGGGGTGTTTAAAAACTAGGGACTAAATTTAGTCCCTCTCATAAAAGTATAAGTTTTTATGAGAGGGACTAAAGTTCCACTTTAGTCCCTCCAACCAAACACCACCTTAGTTCCCAACCTTTTTTTTAAACTTTTAACTTTTCCATCACATGAAAACTTTCATACACACAAATTTTCAACTTTTTCGTTACATTGTTTCAATTTCAATAATAAACTTTCAATTCTAAACACATGTGCATTGAGGGGCTACTTGGTTGGTGGCTCGCCACACGTCCTGTGGCGGATGTTTCGTACATCTCAGAAAACACTGTAGCGAGGAGAAAATATTGTAGCTATGGCATTCAGGCTATGTTTAGATCCAAAGTTTGGATCCAAACGTCAATCCTTTTCTATCATATCAACCTGTCATATACACACAATTTTTCAGTCACATTATCTCCAATTTTAACCAAAATATAAACTTTTGATCCAACTATACACAGCCTCAATAGCGTGCTGCAGAAGGCAGCTTTGCAGGGCAGCTAGGGGGAGCTGCTACGTGCACACGAGCTGCATGTCGATTTGCTATGCATCACCATTTGAGATTTGAGAAGGTAATGAATGATGTAAATAAATAAGTTGTTATTAACAGTGTAAAATTAGACATTTATTTGTTGCAAGATATATAAAACTATGGAGACAATCTATCTATTACTATATTAAAAGTTCATTAACTCCCTATAAACATTGTGAAGTTGACACGTGGTATCCTACAAACGCTTCTAAGCTGTCACATAACGCTATACTAAATTAGAGAAAAATTATAAAAATTCTAAGGGAAAAGCAAATTAATCGGTTTTCATTTAAATGGGTGATCTATTATTTTAGACCACTAGATTATATCTATTAAATTTAATAATAGTAATGTTCTATATGTACAACTTCAAAACACTGGTGGAGAAACCCTTTTTACTCCCGATTAGTAACCCCCTATAGTCCCAGTTTTCCAACCGAGAGTTAGAATTCGGGACTAAAGATCGCTATCTTTAGTCCCAGTTCAAATACCCGGGACTAAATCTTTAGTCCCGATTGGAAGGTTTTTTTCTTCTCTTTTCTTTTCTCTCTTTCTTTTTCACTGATATTTTGCTATTTTCGCAAATCATCTTAGATCAAACATTTACAGCAAATCATTCACAGCATCATCTCAGATCAAACATTCAGAGTAATATAGTTAATCCAAATCATTCACAGCAATAGTTCATCCCAAATCATTCACACAATAATTCATCCCCAAATCATTCACACATTCCCAAATTATTCAAAACAACAAAACAGATCGAATCACACATTAAGGAAAAAAGAAAAAAAAATCCACGGCAGCGTCGGCCTCCACTGCTTGCTGTAGCACCGGCCTCCGTGCCGGCCGCCGCCGAGCGCGGCCCTCCGCGCGAGGCCGCTGCCCGGCCGCCTCCCCCTTCGGATCCTGCGGCGGCCGGCCGCCTCCACTCCGGATCCGCCATCGCCCGGCCGCCGCCGCGCGAGGGCCCCGCCGCCGCCGCCCGGCCACTGACAATAGGGAGGAGAGGAGAGGAAGAGAATTAGGAGAGGAGGAGGAAGAGGAAGAGATGGGAGAAGAAAAAGATAAGGTTAGGGAGGAGGAGATAGAATTTATTAACCGACCCCGTCTCCTCCTCCTCGATCTCGCGCACACCTCGTCCTCTCCGACATGCATGCCGATCTTTTTTTTCCGGTTGGTATTACCAACCGGGACTAGAAATAGATCTTCAGTCTCGGTTGGGAACACCAATCGGGACTAAAGATGATAGCGATCTTTTTTTTCCGGGACTAGAAATAGATCTTTAGTCTCGGTTGGAAACACCAACTGTGACTAAAGATAAAAAAGTAGCTCTAACCTTCTGAACCGGGACTGAAGATAATCTTTAGTCCCGGTTTTTATTGCAACCGAGATTATTATCGATTTTGGTCTACCGACCAAAGATGGTTTCTCCACAAGTGAAAAATTCCCGGATACGTACAGAAAACTATATCCTAATCTCCCCTAAAAATCTCCATTATTTAGAGAAATCCATCCTAATCTTCCATACATGTACGATATAAACTATACGTGCCATTGACCAGGAATCTGCGGAAAAAAATACATGCAGAAGTACGTACGAACTAATAAGCTCATCCTCCACTTCTGGAGAATGCCTCTTATCTCCCGGTCGGGAAACACCTTTACTCCCGGTTATATAACCGGAACCACGAATCTGGGACTAAAGATACCCATCTTTAGTCCCGGGTAAAATAATCGGAAGTAAAAATCCATTTTTAGTCCCGGTTGGTGTTAGCAACCGGTACTAAAAATAGAGCCAGGCTAACTTGGTTGCTTTTTTTTTTATTGTTTTTAACATTGAATATTGATTTCACTCCATTCCCAAATCATCCCCAAATCTCTAATCATCCCCAAATCATGAAATCCCAAATCGATCGTCACATCACATATCAAAAGAATCCTCTCCAAATCCTCAAATCAATTATCTCCAAATACATCACAAATTCTTAAAAACAATTACATCACAAGTTCTAAAAAAATCATCACAAATACATCGCATATTCATCACATCACACACAAATACATCTCATATCCAAATAAAAAATATAAAAGAAAAAAGAAGAAGGAAAAACTCAGACGCCTGCACGCCTGCCGCGCCGGCCCGTCGCCGCACCAGCCGCCCGCTCGATTCACTACCGCCTCTGGGAAAGATGGGATAAGAGCAAGAAAAGAGGAGAGGATAAGATAGATAGGCTAGGGAGAGAGGAGGAAGATGGGAGAAAAACTTTGCAGAACTTGAGGATAAGTCATGGGGATTATATACTTCGGGTTAAATTTTAGTCCCGGTTGGTAATACTAACCGGGATTAAAGATCTAAATAATCTTTAGTCCTGAAGTGGTGATTTTTAGTACCAAACGGGACTAAAGATCCTCGGCCCCCTGACACGCATCTTATAGGGGATGAATCAGGACTAAAGACTACCAACCAACCAGGACTAAAGATAAAAAAAAAATATAACCAGAACTAAAAATAATTTAGTCCCAGTTCTTATTGGAACTGGGATTATTATGGAAATCCTCCGATACAGCAAAGATCACTTCCTCTATCAGGCAAATGTAATCTACTAATATTTCTCTCAACTGGCCTGTGCACATCCAGCACATTGCCGGTGACCTAAGAAGAAATTGGCTGTTTTATAGTGAGTTTGCATCGCAAGTCATCACAATGATGGAACTCATCTCAGCTAGATTTTTTCACAATTCCTGTGAAAATTGAACTAAATTATGTGAAACTCCTGTGTTCCTAGGAGGCAATGGGCTTGGCTTCCAATGCAAACTGGAAGAACTCACTATACGTAAAAACTTCATTAATGTAGTGTAGTTTTTTTTTCAAATTTAAAAAACTTCATTAGATTATTACCACTAAATTTATCATCCAAGACCCGTATTAACTACTTTGGAGTATATTTTAACTATATCATGATTATATTAATTTAGGTCAAAACCCTAACCGTTTGCATGTCATCTGAACCATCATAAAAATATAACAAAAAAGATAATGTTGATTATAGCATTATATATAACTTCACATACATGGATAACTAAATTATTTCTACGCTGCCATAAGAAATAAAAAAGATAAGAGTGATATTTCAACACAATATTCCCTTCGTTATAAAAAATTGTGGTAAGTTGGAATACTTTTATGAAAAGAACTAAAAGTATCAAGCATATGTCCCACTAATCTCTGATGTATTAGTTATACATACAAATCCATGTACGCCAATCATCGAGTTACAATTTCTAATGAGGTGTTTGTGCATCACATTGGCTATCTAAAATATGATGAGTACGCAAACAATCAATATAAAGGAGATTTGACAATATACATTATATACGCCTACAGAAACCTCCTACAACAT